ACCCTCCTATCGATGCACCACGTCCAACGTCCATTCTCTCTCTCTCTCTCTCTCTCTCTCTCCCCCCTCGTGTAAAAAATGTTCGCTCGTAACGAGGGCTTGGCGTACGCGATGCGCGTACGAAACACAAAAGCCGACAAGACACGAGGGAAGCGAGGGGCGCGGCTAGACGGAAGGAGAGGAGAGGAGAGAGCCGGCCAAAAAAGGAACGGCGACACGCGCAAAAGAAGAAGAAGAAAAGGAAGAGAGAGGGAGAGGGAAAGAAATAACGCGTTCGTTTAATTTTCGACCTATAGCGTAGTATAGCGCGGTGAAAATAAAAAGCATTGGCAAGCTCTGCCGCCATCTTCCCCTCCGCCACCTTTCCCCTCGAGACCTTTTTATTTCAGCCCTGCTCGTGAAACAATTCCGCGGCGCCCTTCCTTTCTTCCCTTCTTTCTTCTCGTTTCAGGGCGAGTGGACAAAAGATTCCAAGTGGGAGAGGAGAAATGATAAAATCGTTGGAAAGTTTGGAGGCAAGGTAGGTATGGAGGAAGAAGTTTGTTATTCCACTGGTCGGAGGAAGATTCATACGTGGTAAGTAGGAGGAAGGGAGGGGGCAAGATGCCTCCACACCGGCCAACTTTCCGCGCGAAACTTGGAGATTGGAAATATTTCGCCTACCTTCTTCCTTTCTCTCTCTCTCTCTTCCCTTCTTTTTTTGGATTTTCGACGCGTTACGATAAATCAATCGATCGAAACTTTTTGGAGAAGGGACGAGTTGTATAAAACGTTTAGCTTTAGCGATTTCATAGAAATTCAACGCGGTCGGAATTTTTTCCTCGAGGTCGAGAGCTTCGTTTCCTTTTTACTGTATTTGTTTCTCAACAAAAGAAAGGAAGAGAGAGAGAGAGAGAGAGGAGGGGGGGAAATATTTGTAGCGGTTGGAGTTACTTGCAAACAAGAATTGCTCGATTCTTTCCGCGTGTTTTTCGATCCTTTGATACGATCACCAGCAGCAGCAGCGTGATCCCTGTTGCATTTCCTGTTTCGTTGTTTCTTTCTGCTTTATTCGAGCAGCCTCGTCCCGTTCGAAATTAAACCGAATCCGAAAGTTTTCTTCGATTCCACGATCGAGCGGTGAAGAATAGAATCGAGATAATTTTGGCCAACCGAGTTTTCGTTCTATATTCGGACGAGTGGCCCCGGGCTAGGAAAACTTGATTTCCAATAAATTCGAGAGTACACACCGGCCTCCACCGGCCACCACCGAGTATATTCCAGGTATAACCAGGCAGAAAGGCGGAAAAACTGATAAGATTTCGCCGGAGGCTCGTGTCCTTCCTTTTATTATTCATTTGCCATCCCTTCTATCCATTTCTACGGATATCGTTTAAAAAGAGGGAAAACTTCTCTCTTCAGATCCTTGGAATTAATTCCTCAATTATTATTTTTCGAAAAGAGAAGTATTATTTCGAAGGGTAATTCGGGTAATGGGCGAGGAGAGGAGGGGAGCGTGGCGGAGAATGAAAGGGAGGGTTAAAAGAGCGCGACAGGTCCCAAAACGGGCGGCAAACACTTTGAACGCGGGCTAGTGCTATCCATTCAAAGATGCATGCACGTTCCGATTAATATTGAAACCTTAATTAACGCTCCTCCGCAGGCCAGAGGATCAATCTGCAGAATTTAAATTGAACGTTTCATCGCGCTTTCAATAATGCATTTCAATTCTGAGACCGCTTCTTGTTACTCCCCGAACGGTAATAATAGATGAGAATGGTCAATGATAATGATTCTCCCCGGCCAGAAATTTCACCCATTTCCACCATTCTTCAAAAAAAAAAAAAAGAAAAAAAAGAATCATCCGCTTCGACAATAAATGGACAAGCAATCCCTCGGTAATTCCTAGCCTCGAAACGCGATCCATTTTCACGGAAGAATCATCCTCGCGGAAAACGGTTATAGCCGGTCTTAAATTTTACTTAACATTATCTGGCATCGGTGGATGCGAACCGGGCTACCGGTCGCGAAGTTATGCGCAGCGTTTGCCCGCGAGGACATAACTCTGGGCGGAAAGTTGGCGGAGAACAGCGTTGGAATCCCTTCCGTGTTGGAATAACAAACCACCTATGTTACTGTCCGCCCATCCATCCCCCTTCCCTTCCCTTTGCACAGTCTACCTGCGAAAGCGGACGCTTCAATTCGATTTTCAACTTGGACGACCGGCGCATCACCGCAGAAACACTTTGCTTCTCTCCTATATAACATCTTTCATCCCCTATATCGACGGAATCATCTTTCGTACGTTGCCCTCTTTTGTTTAAAAAAGATATATATATATATATATTTATCTCTTTAAGGTCAAAGCCTCGTGTGGAGAGGAGTTCGAGACAAGTGGAGCATATTAGCCGACATGGTTCGAAAACGGTGATTATTCATCGCGGTTCGAGGCGATGCTCCCGTCGCTCTTTGCCCGGGGATCGGTAATGGAAAAGTTTGTTTACACCGTGCGGTACAGCGTGCGGGGACGCGTGCGAGGACGAAACTTTTATTTACGGGCCGGCCGTAATAAAGACGATAATAGAATATTCTATAAATGGAGAGAGTCCGTTTTCTCTGGTTTTCGTAACGTATTCCATTAGCGAAAGTTGCCGCGACGAACTCTCGAGTGGAATAAAAGCGTCCAGAAAAGCGATACGTAATGGAATGGAAGAATCGTTTCTCTCTCTCTCTCTCTTCTTTTTTTTTCCAACGGAGGAAAAACACCAAACGATTCCAGATTTCCACGTTCTCGATCGAGACGAAGGATTAGTTTCGATTTCTAGATCGACGCGAGAAACGCCGAGTTTCGAATTTCACGAGGGGGGGGGGGGGGGAGGAGAGACTCTTGAAATTTTTGCCCCGACAAATATAAACTCCTCGACGTCGACGCGGAAATGGATACCACTGGATATTCGAGAAGACGGAATTTTTACGGAATCGGAGAAAATATTCAAAGTATTTTTTTTCAAAGTGCTCGACAAACATCGATAATTAACAGATCGACAAATATATAGTATACATATATATATATATATGTATCGTAAGTGTCGAGAATACGAGACTTTTGCTTGGACTTTGAATATATATATATATATATTCTTTTCAAGCATTTAGAGAAGATTTCTTCCGTTTCTTTTTTTCCATCTCTCTCTCGTTTGACAGTACGTTTCTTCTATTCTTTTCTCTCCCTCTCTCTTTTTCTCTCTCTTCTTATCTTTTCTTTCTGCTACATCCTTAACATGCCCTACTTTCTTTATCTTCGTTTCTTCTCTCCGACTCTTATATTTATCTTTTACCACAGTTTTTTTCACCGCACCGCATATTATTCCACTGTTTGCTTCCTCGTCCACCACTTCTACCACCACCACTACTCCACCCTGTTTTCCACGCTCCATTTTCTTGTTTTTCGCTTCTTTTCACTCTATCCGACCCACGTCATCGTTCCTTCCTTCCTTCCTTCCTTCCTTCCTTCCTTCCTTGTTTTTTCTCCCTCCCTCCCTCTCTCTCTCTTTTCATCCCCGATTCTTTTACCTTTTCTATTCGCCTATTCCACGTCGCTTATCCAACGTCGAACTTACCCTCTTTCGCCGTACTTGGCGCGCGAAACTCGGTCCAGGCGAAGTTTTTTTCGTTCGCCTAGGTGGAATATTTTCCAATCTCTTTTTTTTTTTTTTTTTTTTCTCCCTCGCCCACGCCTCTTTCTCGAATCGGCCTCCATTATTTCTTTCCCTCTTTTCTTTTTTCTTTTTTTCACTCACACATCAATTTACCGATTATCGTATCGAAATTGCACAAATACGGCACAAAGTCGATCTCTTCTTCGCCGTTGTATCGTTTGACGCGTGTATTATTCGTCCGGCCCGTTTATCGCGTTCGAAAACACGCGGCCACGCACACTCGGTGTTATCGAAATTGTCGTTTCACGTGCACGTACGTTTCAAGCGCGTACCGCCCGAAATGAACGTTTAACGGCAAACATATCGATTGGATTCTTTGATGTTGCTTCAAAGCGCAGCCAACGATTACATTGGCCGATTTAATTGAATTTCAAACCGGTTTTAGCCCCTCTTACAAATAAATTCCTGCGCGAAGAAACGGATCGAAGGGAAGGAGATCGAGTTTTAAACAATTTTTCCTATCTTACACTCTTATCCCACACTGGAAACGAAATCGAAAGCAATTCCGATCAATTCACCGAACGCCACGGAATTCCAATGCGAACTCAAGTAATTAAAGACGATACGATTGAAATAACGGTAATTATACGAAGGATGGAACATAGAAACCGGAGAAGAAAGTTTGCATGCCAATCTGTATATCGCAGACCAATTAACATTAACGTTTGAACGTTCATATTAATTCGAACAACTGCTTTTTTTTTTTCTAATCGCTCAAAAATCCTTAAGAATCTCCACAAGAAGAAGAATCCAAGATATCGAAAGGAAGGAAAAGAAAAATCGCTTACACGGCCCCCTGGAAGACAATCGTTTCTCCATCTGGACGGGGGAAAGGTGGATGCCGATCGAGGAACGTGGTATATCCGAATCGTATTAGATGGCCGGTTAAGGAGAAACACGGCCCATTGTGTATTCCGCCTTCGCAGCAATATCTCACCGAGTGTAGCATCCTACGTGCTTTTTCCGCGGTCTCGCGCGGCAAGAACGAGGTCGCGCCTCCTCCTCCACGAATTCCGGTCACGGTGTGGCCACGGATCCCTCTTGAAAGAGCCCTTACCCCTCGGTGATCGAGACGGATCGAGCATTAATGGAGTACGTGGAAACGATATTTTCTCGACCCGATCGATACGAAATTTCGTTTGTAACGGGGCGCGTATTTACGACTCTGTTCGAGGCTCGAAGAAAATCGGTCGAAGATTCGAGATAATTGGAGAAAGTTAGGGGCGCAAGTTATTCCATATAGCGTTGGAGAGGCGTTATTAAGGCCGCGTCATTAGCACTCGAGTGAGGTGTACACTCGAGAGTATTCAAGATCGTATTCGCATCACGTAACCCGGCGATAAAAACTCTCGACCGTATCGAGAGATCGAATCCGGGAGAAGTTCCTTCGATTCGTTCCTGCGAATCTTCTTCCCTCGACAACGGCATTAACGGATAACGAGCGTCTCGCAATAACGAGGCGGAAAATACGGCAATTTGGCAAAACTTAGGCGAGGAGGAGCGGCGCTAATGCCGATGGGTATTCGCGAGCGTCCAATACGCACCCAGATCCACGATAACACCCGTTTTTAATGGCCACCCTCCCCCACCGACGTTTCACGAGGTTCTCGAGGCAAACGGACCGGATTATTATTATCATTCCATTCGGGGAATTTTTCCATTCCGAACTCGAAACAAGTTGTTCGAATTAAAATTGGTCGCCAAACGGTAGAGAGTAGAGGAATTACGCAGATTTTTTAAAACGGATAATTGTCTCGACGCGATTACACGGGCGATTATGTACAAAGTAGAAGAAGATAATCGTAGTACCTTTTTGTCTTTCTAAAAGGTTATCGCGGATGCATAAATCTTCCATGTTCGAGAGGAAGAAAGATGGGGCCGAGGAGGAGAGGAGATTCCTCCGGAATTCCTGCGGAAATCTGTCAGAGATGAGATCGATACGCGGAAGATGGAAACCCTTCCTCGAAGGATCGTTAAAATTTCCAACTACTAACAAGTAGGGCGGTAATGAAAACTATTATTGGAAAAAACGAAGGAAGGAGATGGAAATTAACCAAGTCCCTTAACGAATCGGATCGATCGACGGCCGACGTCGGGAAAAATAGAGGAAACCTCGTCAATGGCCATTATATCCTTCGCGTCGCGAGTTCCGGCCGCCACTCGTCACGTCCGTCCGTTATTTCGAGTGTTTCTCGTTACCACGATGGACGACGAGGCCGAAAACAAATCCGCGATCGATTCCGCGAAAGAAAAAGATGAAACGAGAAGTGAAGTGAAGAGAAGAAAAAAAAAAGTTAAGAAGGCGTTAAATGGGGAGGGGAAGGAGAAAGTGTTGATTCGAGGGAAGCAAAGTTTTCGACGAAAATTTCTTCCTTTTTAAATAAGAAGATTTAACTCCCTCTCGATGAGTATTTTTTTTTTTTTGTAAGAAATTTAATATAAAGGAGATGAACGGATGAAAAGCTTTTCTCTCGAGATTAAAAATATTCGAAATGGAAAAGTTGTTAGATGGTCGAAGAAATAATAATAACTCGCAAGGATAAACAACATGTCGAATAAACGAATTCGAAGATGGGGGAGGATTTAAAAGAAAAAGAAGAGAATAATGAGAAACATCGAGGATCGATAAAAGAGGGAGAGAGGAAGAAGGCGAGAGAGTTGGCGAGGCGATTAACCGTCCCCGTGCTACACTTCACGGATCGGGTGTCCCATGTTAATGGAGGACGATTTTCTAATAAAAAGTCCATTGCGTTTTCGACCCTTGAGAGCAAGGATCTTCTCTCCCTGCGATGATGTACGAATAATAATACACGATCCTCTCCCCTCGTCAATTTATAACAAGTTGGAGGAATGCGAGAAGCGTGTTCTCGAGACGAGTCGAATTAGAAAATTGGAAAGTGGTCGGTCGGAAGGAAATAAAAGGTAAAACGTTTCGTAAAAGTTAGGGACGCGTGACTGGGAAGGCGAAATCTGGGAAGGTCGAGAAGTTTTAAGCAAGTTACGAGGTCCCCGTTCGAAAAGTCGATCTTAAAAGCCATCCCCGCTCCGTGAGGAAAATTTCTCCTCTTTTCTCTCTCTCTCTCTCTCTCTCGACGAGATACAGATAGACGGAGGATTCTTGGGCAAAAAACTTGGATAATAATCCCTACCCTTCCACGTGTTGTTTCAATATTGAAACAATGTTCTTCGAGAATCCTTCCTATTGTTTTGCATCTTCTTCGCGGCTCACGCGGCTCCAAGTCGTTTCTCCCCTTTTCTCTTTTGTTATTAACGTTAGTTGTTAAAAGCAGCGGCAACGAAGCGAGTGGATAACATCGAACATGGAATAAAAAAATAAAAATATTTTCTACCAACGATTGAAAATACGCCGATTCATTTTTCGAACGTTCAATTTTTTTTTCCTTCTTTTTTTTTTTTTTTTTTTATTATTCAAACAATAGTACGATAAATATCAATTGCAATTTCACGGTAGATAATTGAACACAAATGGAAAAAATATGGCGGGGGGGGGGAGAATAAAAGATCGCATACACGGTCATTTTTCCCCACTGTTCGACTCTTCGCTTTGCCCTTTAATTTATTTAATTTTCACGTCTCGTTGAACGAGATATAGAACGAATATCCGATATTGCGAGCACGTTTTTTTTTTTTTTTTGTTACGTTTTACTACTAATTCCAGAGGGAACAAGAGCGGGCAAAAAATTCTTCCCCAAGAAATAAATCGTTCGTCTTCCCTTCTTTCTTGGATTTCCCTGCAGATTTCCTCGTTACGCGAAAGGGTTAATGTAACTTGTTTGAAAAATTTCCTACCCTCACGAATATATATATATAAGAGATCGAACAAACGAACAAACAAACGATCATCGAATTCTCGTTTCGAAGAATTAAAAACGGAAAAAATCCTCGATCGATTCTGAATCCACCACGAGGAGGAGGTGTTTCGCCATGGAATTCCCGCTTCGACACCGATAGACGAGGCCATCGTCGCGTCTCGCCGGATTAAATTATAACGTCGGCCCTGATTTACATCGATAGCGGTGCAAACTCTCTCGCTCGGTTCGTTAGAAAGTTTCACGAAAGTGTCGCGCAGTTGGCGTGTTCCGTGCTACCGTGTCCGACGATTCTCATGCAAACACGAGCGCGCTTACTACTTTGGTCACGGATACTCGGGGGTTACGAGTGTAGAAACACTCGGGCGGACCTTTCTCTCTCTCTCTTTCTCTATTTGCTTTCACTTACTTTTCGACCCTCCGCTTCCTTCCGGTCGTGCATATTTAATCGTCGAATCGATTCTTCTTAGAGAGAGAGAGAGAGAGAGAGAAAAGAAAAGAAATATGGTAGAAATAATTGGAATCCTATTTTAATACGATATTTTTACAAAGTAAGGGGGAAATCTGCAAGATGGTCGACTTATACTTTGACGTATAAATTATAGGAGAAGAGGATTCAGGTGGTAATTAAATTAGGTTGGAGGAAGATTCTTATTTACGATCGTTAAAACTACTTACTTCGTTACAGAATCAATTTAAAAGTTGGTAATAAGTTTTGGCAAGTTGCGCGCTTTTATTACCTTCGCCCGATAATCCTTGCGGTTTTAATATCGAAAGAACAGCTCTCTATGGGAACATAAATCTATGAAACAGACTCTAATCGTCTATCATCTCGTTGAAAATGCTCTCGTTCACCCTTATTCGACGGTGGCCGAGCAAACCTTTCCC